ATTGTAATAGAAAATATTTGTTGTGCCACTACAATAAGGTGAGTGCGATTTTTTTATTGTGTAGTATCTCATTTAGGTTATAATGTATAAAAATCGTTTTTGGATATGTAGAAAGTGGAGTCACTACTTTGATATGCTTGCAAATCATAAAGTTTGTTGAGATGATACTGAATTTGAAAATAGAATATCATTTAAAACTAAAAAGTGAAATGTTATATATTGATCAAGATATAAGAAATGAAATTCAGGAAAAAAATAAAGAAATAAGTAGTAGAGAGTTGACAAGATAATCTATATGTGTAGGGTGTTTAAGAATTCGATTAGAATATTATAAATTTCGTCTCATTGTCATATAATCTGATTAAGTGTATGAGTATAATACATAGCTAAACAAAAAATAAATATTTATTCTCTTAGATGGAAAATTATGTTGATTTTATGTATATGAAAAAGTTGCAACAATGTTAAAAACATATGTCAATTGTTGTAGTTAAACTCTAAAAAACAATTCTTTAAGTAGGGTGAGCTATGAAGCCAATGTTTTTAAAGTTGTCCGAATAAAAGTAAGAGCATCTTATCATTCATTCCCAACTAGAAAAATACAAAAAAAAATTCTTAGAAAACAGATTGATTTTGTTTTTGTTTTTTTTTTATTATAAGATAACATACTAAAAAATCAGTAGTTAACTTTTGTTTTCTCTTGGGATCAACTTCAAGTATCAAATATGTTTGAAATTTTAGATTTTAGTGATAGGATATAAAAGTATATGGACGTTTACAGTATTACTAACTTGATTGAGAACTAATGTGGCACCAAAGAAAACAATGAAGACATTTAGACCTATGTAATCTACTCGAAGTAGTTAATATGTTCGAAATTTGATATTTAAGTGATAGGATATAAGAGTATTCAACTGTTTAAAGTAGCAATAATCCGATTGCGAACCAATATGATACCAAAGAAGACAATGAAGATAGTTAGACCAATGCGATATGGCTTGAAGGAGGAAGTTAGTACCTTATGATATTTTAGTCTTAAGTTTGAATTCATTTTAGATACTATTGTATGATGTAAAATTAATACTGATAAAATAAATATAACTCAATTCGGACTGAATTTCCAATATACAATGATAGTAGTTTAACAACTATTATTATTTATATTTATTTTTTCGAAAATAAATATGAAAAACCCACGCGTAGCGTGGGTTCAAAACCTAGTCTATACTATATAAAAGTTGAGGCTATAGGCTTCTGAGGCCGTCCACCTAGGATTTTAAACGACCAATCGTGGTTAGACATGTTATTAGTTAACATTTTTGAAATTATTATTATTTTCTATTTTTTTAGATTTTTGTAAAATGGAAAAAGCAACATATGGAAATAAGAGAAATATTTGAAAATATAGAAAATTTTCTAAATATTTTGTCATTAAAATACATAGTATAAAAATTATCAAAATGTAAATTATATTTTTTTTAAGTTTATACAATTTTAAATGAAAATACAGAATTTATGTTTAGTCTCACTACATTTATTAGTACTTAATTTTCAATAACATTAGTCATTTAATCACAACTGCTATCTCATTGAATGATATTTTAAAAATTTATGAAATTTATTTTAAAAGTATTTATAGATAGGAAGAAATATGATAATATGTTGAAGCAAGATATATATAAAATTTGTTATTATAATACATAAAATAATTCATATTAGTCTCACAAATTTAATTATATTGTCATATTTTTTAAACGACCAATCGCAATTAGTTATCATTAATTAACATTATTTGACATCACGTTAATTATCATTTTTAAATTCTAATATTTTATACAGTATGATATTTATAAAAAAAAGAAATATATATATATATATAAGAAATAAATTTACATTTTTTTCTATTTTTTTCCATATGTTGTCTTTAAACATTTAGATTTCTATTATTTTTCTAAAATATGGAAAAATAAAATTTAGAAAATAATAGAAATCTAAATGTTTAAAGACAACATATGGAAAAAAATAGAAAAAAAAATGTAAATTTTTGAAAAACAATATGTGGAATACATTAAACTTATATTCTTATTTTGTTAAGTTTTTTATTTACCAAAAAAAAAGAATATTAACAAAAACTATATTCGATTAACCCTAGATTTTTTCATTATAAATGATGACATGAAGCCTCCTATTCTATCATATTTTTTTAAGCTGTATATTTTAAATCGTCGGTAACAGTTAGGGTTGGTTACTACTCTTTATTAGGGATAACAATAGCCCACATTGAAAGTTGAGTAGAATCTTAAGTGGTATATATAAGATATGGACCTCTCTACTCATAGCCAATTGGTTTTGAGTTCGAAGCCCAAAGTTTAATATGGTATCAAAGCCCGATCCACACATTCTCAGCCCAATCTACATCGGCCGACCAAATAATTGGTCCGCCGATCCATGCCCGAACATAGCGAGATCAATGGGTAAAAGAGTCATCATCTCGAGCGGGTGTATTAGGGATAACAATATCTCACACTGGAAGTTGAGTAGGATATTAAGTGGTATATATAAGATATAGGCTTCTCCACTCATAGCCAATTGGTTTTGAGTTGGAAGTCCGCAGTCTAATACTCTTAATGGTGCATATTATATTTTTTTCATCACTTTTGCCACTTGTAGCAATATTTGGACTTCTATTTTTTTCTTATACACACAATTTAATATAGTTATCTTTGCTTTTGTCGCTCATAAGTCATAACCACGCTTTTATGCTAAAATATTAATTTATATATTATGATTTTTTTTTACTCTCATCATCGATTGTTACGATCGTTTTTTTTTATGTGTGATTCACTCGGCATTACATCTACACCTAATTGATCTAACTTTCCTCCTTCCGAGATGCTATATCCCGTAAAGATCATCAACTTTATTACTTGCATGTCTGCACTACCACCTAATATATTATGCTTCTGTTTATTAGATTGGCGCTTGTCATTTGAGACTGAGAGTAGTTTTTATTGTTTTGGTGAGAGTAAAACCGAAAGAGACCAGCTAAGTTTGTGAATGGTAGATGTGCTAATGGAATTGAGAATGAAACAAAGGATATGAGTACTTGCTGAAAGATGGAAAGAGTGATAGCTCTCTAGAAAAAAATGTGAAGACGGAAATTCAAATACATATTGAAAAGAATGTGAAAAATATGAATTGTTAAAAATAAAGTATAGATAAGCTTATGAGTACACTTATGTATAGAATCTTATATTTAGAAGAGCTACACTAACCAATACAGTGAAGATAGACGAAGAACAATAGTGAATTTGCGTACCCCAAATTGAGCAAATCGTCGAAGTTAGTCCCCATACAACAATAAATCTAGGAAAGTTGTGGTTGCGGTGAGAGTTGAGGAACATACATATAAGATCGTGCAAGGAAGCTCTCTTGGAAAAAATATCTAAGCCAATATTGTGAGATGTCTGTGGCTAATGAGGTAACTTATTTCGTGATTCTTTTTTGAAACTTAGGTTATATATTTCTTCAGTTAGATGATATCTAACCAGGAAAAAAGTATGAATACTTGTGTTGAAATTATGGAAAAAGTTGATCTTCTTAGAGTACCGATTTCAATCAAAAACATGAATTAACAAGATGTAAGAAAGGTAATAAATTTAATTCATGAGATCAGTTTCCTTGCATTATAAACAATTGACGTCAGAATTTAGGTAGCAAAAAGAGTTGATCTCCATGTAAATAAAATGAAAAAGAAAGACAGAAACGCGGTTGACACCAGAAGACAAACTTGGATTACCAAATATGGAAAGAAAGTGAGAAAATAGTTATGATATGATCTCTTTATGGCAACGTTTTGTTCATATGTAGCTGAAACTTGATGGCAAAGTTTTTCACTTTGTTGGGATGAGTCATTTTTGTATAAGAGATGCTCTGATAGTCTTTTTAGGATAAATGAGGTTATTGTCAAAATATTATAATTACTTTAAGAATAGTAAAATCTTTAATAGTATAAAAAAGTAAGAGATAATGACACATCATGTTTGTAATATATTTTATACCAAATTTTATCCAATAAACTTTTTTTTCTTATTAAAACAAAATTTTAAATAATGTAAATGATACTAAAAATATAAATAAGAACATTTATGTTAAAAAAGAATAAATAATAAACATTATAATATTTTTGTATTAGTAATGTCAATATATAGTTACTTAATTAAATACTTAAACCAAAAATATATTAAATCAATCGATAACAACAAACCCCCGCGTAGCGGGGGTTAATAACCTAGTATTGAAATAAAAATAATTAGGTACTACAAAGTCACTTGATATCACATCCATCAGTCATATAATTTCATGCTCAAGCACCCTAATCATTCTACCACATGATGGTCGATTAATATATACCTTTGTCTTAGAGAAAAGCACATCCCACGACTTGATCTTGTTTGCTTTCAAGATGACGAACCGTCATCTCCTAAATTCAAAACTATTCGACACTCATGAAATGCAAAATATGACCATAGTTAAGAAAATGATTCAAAAACAATTGTCAAGGCTAAATATGTTTTAGTTGGTAAGAATATATGTTGAAATTTAATAGATAAAAATCGCAAATAACACTGAGTTTCACTTGATGAAATCAAAGACCTTAAATGTTTCAAATTCCAATATGTATTAGGTTGACTGTAGCCATCTATCCGAACTTTATCAAAACGGGTTAAATTCAGATCAAACCCGTCGCAATTCAATAAAACATGGTTGTCCGGTTTATTAAACAAAAATCAACATTACAATTGGATATGTCGAATTATGTTGATTCTAATAGATTGTTATGTTTAGTGGCGAGGGATAAATTTGTTGTGTTGTAAAAAAAAAAGTAAAAGTTTAAGTGTAAATCGTGTGAACACATTTGTTAATCTTATATATACTTATATATATTTTGTTAATCTCTAGGACTTTGCTCCACTTCTGGAGGTGTAACCTCAGTGTGAGGGAATTTATGTCCCTAATCGCCTCACAAACCGATTAATGATTCACGGATCTAAAACTTGAATATGACACAAAAGAATTTGATAACCGAGTTCCCGGCCTCTAACCGGTACGTCTCGGGGGAGGACTCTTGCTCCCAAGCTTCACTATATCAAAGGAGGTTACAAACACCACTAACTAGTGATGTTATCTTTTTGGTTTCAGGTACAAACTCAGTAAGTACAAGATCAAAGACACAAAAGAACAAAAAGGAGAAAGCTTCTTGAGAACTCTAACGTTTTTTCTCTTTCTCTAGAACCCTCTTTTGCTGTCTTTTGCTGTTTTGTTTTCCTTATACGTTGTAATAGAGATATATAGGTGATATATTTGGGCCACAAATTATTGCCCACACCTTTGTTCTTCTTCTCCATGCCAATTTCGTTTGGCCCACATAGACCCAAATGCTGTGTTTAGTGAAACCCAAATAACAATCTCCACCTTTTGACCAAACACAGAGCTTCGACGAAATCGACATCTGAAACCAACCTCTCCACTTTCTCCTGTCCGTGAAGCCAAAACGTCACCACCAATCGCCTTCTCCTCCGGCGATATACTCCGGCGACGTCCTCCATCTCCGATTATCATCTCCACCAATCTCCTCCGAGTTTCCTCTTGTTCCCGTGATGAAGAGAAGATGGTAAAAATCGAAATCGTTTTAGATTCCGACCACAGCCTTCTCCGATGGCTACCTCCGGTGAAAGCAAGCTTCAGCTTCCACCTGTTCCACGGCGGCTCACAATTTTGACGAATCAAGAGACATCTCCTTCATCACTGCCAACGAATCTGAAGCTTCTCCAATGAATCAAAAGCTTCTTCTTCGTCTCCTCCGGTGAATCGGACCATCGCCGTCACCATTCATCTCAGGTACCCTCTCATCTCTCTCTTGTCTCTTCTTGTGACACTTAGAGACTAGGATCCTTGAAAACTTCCAGAATTTTGAGAAACCTGAAAGTTTCCCCTTCTGACTCCAGCTCAGGAGATCGGCTCCGTTTCTCTGACGAAGCTTTTGTGCTTCTCATCCTCTGCATACCCCAGGTACATCTAATCTCTTTCTTCTATCTCTTCACTTAGACAATTAGAGATTAGGATCCTCTGAGATTTTCAGAGATTGTGAAACCTAAAAGTTTCAATTTTGAAATCCATTCAGGTGACAAACTCCATCACGCTCAGTCACATCCGATCCTCAGGTAATCTCTTTCTCTGAAATCTTTTCAGATTTACGACATAAATCTTTTAACCATGAATTTCTAAACCTGACTGTCAATTGTGACTCCACCTGAAACCTTGTTCCTTTTAACCCCGTTTCAGAAATCTTCAAGAAGCATCACAACCTTGAATCACCTCTGCCTGACCAATTCCTACAATCTCATAGTCTGATGTGATTCTCTAACCAAATTTCTCTCCGAAACTTTCATAAGCTGCTCCACCTGGAACCGATCACTCTACATCACGGCTCCACAATTTCCGCAGGTTACTCCTTCACTCTCCTTTTTTTTTTTTTTTTTCTTTGAATCTCCGAGACACCCATAAGCCTTGACTTCTTCTCGCAGCTCTACCTGAGATAACTTAATCTCAAAATTCCTTCCTTGAAAGCTGCTTATGACGAGAGCACAACCTTTTATAATGTTTCCTATGACTTCAGGTAATCCCGTATTGTAAACCTGAAACTACTTTCTCTCGCCATGTATCTCCTTAGTCATCTTCTTTGTCTCTGAATTTTCTAATTCTGTGAGATACCACAAACCTTAACTTGGTTTCTCCATTCTTCAAAACAGCTCCACCTAGAACCAGAATCTACACCTTGTGACTTCCGATTCCTCACAGGTACCCTTTCCTTTCTCCATTTCCTTGGATTTCTTGGAAATGTGACTTGCCGTGGAACCTTTTCTTGATTTTCTTTTCTGTCACATGTGCCCTGATCTTAGATTCAACCCCTTTCACTTTCAAGAAACTTGAATCATACTTGTCTCAGCGCTTGAAACAATCCATGATTCAAACACCTTTCTGTTTAAACTCTTCTGCCTTGGACTTCTCTTTGTACCGCTGTTAACACTAACAGAGCCCGCCATCAAGCTACCTCCTTGCTAGATAGACTTTCGACACAAACCCTGGTCCAAGCGTCTTGTTTAACCAGAACCTTGCTGACAAACAAATTTTCGTTGAATCAACTGCAGAAACAAAAACTCTTAAGTCGCCCATGCTTCATTTCCTTGAAACAGTCTTCGACTTACTCTTGACCTGTTTGAACACACTTGATTTGAGCATCACTTTGCACCGCTGTTGTTGCCAACAGAACACGCCGCCTAACTCCACCTAGCTAGGAAGACTTTCGACACAAATATCTTTGCTCACCCTTTGCTCAAACTATTCTGCATCACCATTGCTGGTTCCTTTAAACATGTCTTACACTCACAACTTATAGCCTTTAAATTCCTTTCCTTGTTGTAACCACCACATTTAGCAAAATTGAGATTGAACTTAATGCCTTAGTTTAAACAACCACAGCCCTGAATCCATCTTGTACCGCCATCATCCCTGATGGAACCCGCCTCCAAACTGATCCCGTCTGGAAGACTTTCGACACAACTTTCCATTCAGTTCTTGTGTTTAAACATCCTCTTGTACTAGTAGATTTCCATCACTAGCAAACTCAATATCAATCTCTTATCAATTGCTAAACCATAACACCAGAGACTTCCCTTTTACAGCCACTTCCAACCACACCTCGAACTTGTGACAACCCTTTTCTAGCTGTAAAAATAAAATAAAAACTATTCCACACAATACTCTTCCTTGTATTTGGGAATCTACTAACACATTAGTGTCAAAGGAAACCAAGTATAACCTTACTTGTTCCTTACTGTCAATGCAGCCATGCATTCACCTCCATTAATTCTGAGACTATGACCTTTATCCAATGCTCCTCAAACCTTACCAGCACCTAAATCCTTTCAGAGTCATCAATCTGCTTTACCTCAAGCAGAGTCCAGCTTCACACTCATCTACTGCCTAACCCATTTCCTTGAATCTTCAACAGCCTTCTTGAACACCAAATTCGCTGACTTTCAACAACCAAAAACGAACAAGATACAATCTGGTTCACAGCAAAAAATCTTGACTTTCCCATTGTTGAAATCAGACCACATCCACGTGTTCTTCTAAGATGAAGATTTTCTTAACCTTAAGCAGCCTTGAGTATCCAAAAACTTCAGTAAAGAACATCACACATACCTTGTGATCGCAGCGAAAAACTAGACTTAAAGTCTTGAGGATTTGAGTCTTTTGGATGATGCTTCGATTCCTCTCTTCACATCCTTGAGTTAGTAACCTTAACTCTTGTGTTCTTAAACTTGAATCGAACTCACTGCAGAGAACCTCCACCTTAAACCAACTCACTATCGATTTAACCTTCACAGATCAAGAACGCCTTCTAGATCATATATGTTTCTGCAACAGTCTCAGAACTTCCTTTTTAACACTTGCAATGCAATAACTTGACCCTGTGAGTTATCTGAACCAAAACTCCCCTTGTTGCAAACTCTCGTGTCATTAGAGGATTTCCTGATTTTAAAACCCTGAGATCTCTGCCACATATTCAATCTTTACTTGAGAATCTGTAGTCCTCCAAACCAGACGACTTCAACTGATCTCGTGAATCTCAAAGAGCCTGGGCTCTGATACCACTTGTGAGGGAATTTATGTCCCTAATCGCCTCACAAACCGATTAATGATTCACGGATCTAAAACTTGAATATGACACAAAAGAATTTGATAACCGAGTTCCCGGCCTCTAACCGGTACGTCTCGGGGGAGGACTCTTGCTCCCAAGCTTCACTATATCAAAGGAGGTTACAAACACCACTAACTAGTGATGTTATCTTTTTGGTTTCAGGTACAAACTCAGTAAGTACAAGATCAAAGACACAAAAGAACAAAAAGGAGAAAGCTTCTTGAGAACTCTAACGTTTTCTCTCTTTCTCTAGAACCCTTTTTTGCTGTCTTGTCTCAACTACCACCACTATCCCTTATACGTTGTAATAGAGATATATAGGTGATATATTTGGGCCACAAATTATTGCCCACACCTTTGTTCTTCTTCTCCATGCCAATTTTGTTTGGCCCACATAGGCCCAAATGCTGTGTTTAGTCAAACCCAAATAACACTCAGAACTTGCTTAAATCTTAATGCATTCAGTTTGACCAAAAAAAAAAAAAAGAATCATAGATTCTATTCTTCTGGTTTCGAAACAAAAGAAAAAGATTATCTTATATGAAGGTGTTCGACATCTAACGTACGTTCTCCACGAAATATTACGTGCTTTCATATTCTTTTGTTTAAAAAGAACTATTGTCTTAAATTTTAAGCCTCTAACCAATAATGTATTTTGGAGTATGGGAAACGTACATGATATAAGATTAGGAACTTACGACTCCCAAGCCTCATATGACTTCCCAATCACTCGAAAATACTTGTTTATTAAAATTAAAAAAAAAAAAAGAAGAAGAAGTTATGTTCAATTTGGATACGTTTGGTGATAAAAGTAATTAGACAGAACAACAAGAAATACTATTATAATTAAGAAAATGGTAATGATGTGACTTATTATTACTATAGAATTAGTTAAACTATTTTGTTGTCCTACTTTATTCTTGAATTATATCTACTCCGTTATTTACTGAAAGACACATTTAAGTATAATTATAAATTATCTAGTACTTTCATAATTATGTTTATAAATATGCCTACCAAAAAAAAAAATTTATGTTTATAAATATTTAATACACCAAATCATAATTTAACTTCCCAAAATAATAGTAGATCATACAATTATATCACGGAAATATTTTTAGGATTAACTAGAAGTAGAAGTACGTGTACACGGATTAAAACATGATATGAAAATGTCTAGCATTTTACAACAAATAAATAAAACATAAGAATTTTGAAACAAATCAAATGGTCATGACCTCATGTCTTGACGTTGGAAGTGAACGAAATGAGAGCGTATATGAGATGGGACACGAGCAGGACGGTACTTGTTGTCAAGCCACACACCGGTTCCTTTTGCCTCCAAAATAGGCTGCATTTTTAGTTATATGAACCAGAAGATTCCAAATCAGAACAAAAGAAAAAAAAAATGATCAATATCAAGGCTTGATGAGAGGAACAAAATTAACCTCTAGATTTGGAAGTTTGAAGATGAACTGTTCAAAGTAAATGCGTGCCACAAATACTCCCGATATCCTTGATTTCATTACAAATTTGCATCCACTCTGCTAAAAAAATCAATTAAATGTACAAAACAATGATATTACAAAATGTAAAAATATTACTATATGATACTATGTCACAAGATATATATCTAAGAGAAGAGGATAAAAATTACTCGTAAAGGTGCAAGGAACTTTATTGTAAACTAGGTCGAAACCCGCGCTCCGCCGCGGGATATTTTTAAATGTTTTTTTTTTAATATTGAAGAAATTTTAAATTTGAGAGATGATTTTAATTAAATATCTAATATTTAAAATAATTTGAACGCAAAAAAAGAACCAAATCAAATTGGAATGTTAAACCGAGACTAAACCGTAAATCAATTTTAGTATTCAGATAAAATTTGTATCCCGAAAAAGTCAGAAAACGATCATTTTTTCTAGAAAAACAGATGAACAAAGGAGAGAGATAAATTAGATAAACAGTTAAACAGAGATTAAAAAAAAGGAATACATTTGCTTTTATATCTGAAAGACTTTAACTAATGGCAGCCAATAAGAGACGATTCTTTCACTGTGTGTCTAAAAGAGTTTATATCGCCGGAGTGCGATGGAGCTATGGCGGTGTTCCGCAATCGAACTCTAAATCTCCTACGTCTTTTTGTCACTGATTGATAGAATTGGAATCTGAATTTAGTGCCCACAAGTAAATATCTTTCTTTCCTCTTATTTTTTTTCTCAAGTTTACGTTTTTGTTTTCTCCGATTTGAATATACCGTCGATGAAATCGTTGAGCTTTCATTTTTTGACAAAAGTTATGATATTTGGTTCGATCGGACATATATGTATATGAACATTCCATAGATGTATAGAACTCATGACTTAGATACTTGAAAATATGTTATATGGAATGTTCATCTTTGATTTTAATGTTCCTTATGCATACTTGATTCATATGTTGAAGAGGCGTAAAAGGCTAAGAGCTTTGTTTGTTTGTTTTTCAAAATTTGAAAATTGAAAATTTGTTTTATTATAGGAGTACAGAACGTTACTCAAATGATTTTTAGTTATTCATTAAGGTCCATGATAACGCTTAATAAATCTTATAATATTTTATTGCAATGGTTCTTATCCAATTGGATTTGTATCCAATTTTATCCAAACGGTAAACATTACAAGTAAGGGCTTGACTGATTTAAACGTAGCAGTTGCGGTTACGGTTGTGGGAGTTTACGGAAGCGGGCGGTTGCGGTTTCAAGCGTTATTTAGTGTGTTGATCGACTGGTTTAGTGGTTAAAAACGGATGCGTTTGTGGGAGATTTATGACTGGTTGATCAGCGGGTACAGTAACGGTTAAACCAAAATTTACCAAAATGAATTTAGTATATGATTATAAAAAAGTATAAAAACACCAAAAACTATAATATTGAAAAAATAAAAAATTTATAAACATGATTAGCGATTAAAAACCATAAATGATTATTCAAATAAATTTTATATTGAAAACAAAAATAATTATTAATATTGGAAAATTAAAGTTAGATAATTCTTATTTTTTTAGAATTAACGTGAATATATATGACTTGATAATATATATTTTAATTTGTTCATTTTTCTTTTTTACTTTCTTTCCTTTTTTAAATCCACCGCAACCGCACCAAACCGCAAACGATTGTAGGAAAGAGCTTTTAAAATCCAACGATTTCGAGCGGTATAGAAAAGTTTCTATGATTGGCACCAACCGCTAACAACTGCTAGGCGAGTGCTAGCGGGAGAACCAATCAAGCCTTACATTGAAGTCCAACAGCCATATTCTAAAATATTAAGCTCATATGTTATAGCCCAAAAACAAATAGAACAATATTAATAAAAGCAGGAGGGATAATTATTGGCCAAAAAATCTGATGTGTATTAAACCAAATGTTTTCATTGGATGATGATTTTAATGATGTGTCATGCCCACAACACTCCAAAAAGCTGAGGTGTCAGCACTGGAGAGAAACCTTAGTGTTTTTATTGTATTGATTCAGAAATTGCCAAGGCTTCACCAGAACGGGATACTTCATCACAGTTGATACCGATACTCTCCATGAACTCGTGTCGACCTTCGTATGAAAACAAGTTGAACAAATAATATTTGGTAAGAACGGTATATAGGTTAAGTCTTCGTAGTAGCCAATGTCTCGACTCTAGGGATATAATAATCTGAAGCAGCAATATATGCAACCAAATTTAACTAACCGTGTTGGCAGTAGTTTGCATAAACAGCATTGTTCACAACACCAAACGGATCCAATTCATAATCGCGAACTTTAAGTTCAATCTCAGGGAAACTACTCTTTCTGTCATATTGAAATTTCAATTAGATTATGAATCTGAAATATTAGATCACTCCCCCTTGGCCACTATAGATGTCTTAAGTGGCAAGAGTACCACCCTAACAAAACAAATATGAGATCACTGAGATCTTATGAATAGACATAGAGAGACATATGTGTACCCTTTGCCTCTTTTTAGTTCGAGGCATGCGAGAGGCTTGAAGGTCGTTAGGTTCCGGAGAAGGATGATAACTGGTCTCCTTGACGAACATGGAAACATTACATGCATTGCCGGAGCTGCCCTGCCAGTAGCTTGAAACATTGCACTTTTGCGATGTGATGAGTAGTTGACAACTTTTGTGCGGTTTGTGAAAATTGGTTTCAGTAACCGTAACCATATATATAGAAGAATACAGATTATAAAACTTACATGATCTTCTAGATTATACTGTATCAATTGATGGCTCCGATTGGTGACAAAAAAAAAGAACAATAGGAACAAGAAAAAAAAGGAATGAAAATGAACAAAAAGGAAAGGAAAATGATCAAAACCAGGAACCAAAAGGAACAAAAGAATTGAACAAATGATTATGGTAAATGGTAACCAAAAAATTGAACAAATATTTAACATAATAATTATTAAAAATTATATATTTTATTTAGTTTATAAATTTTATTTAAAATTAATGTTTTATATAAATTTAAAACGAAATATAGTATAAATTCAAATATTTTATTTTAAAATAATATAAATTTCACTTGAAAGCATTTATTTATTTATTTTAGTATAAATACTAATTTAAAACAAAGTCATAACATTCATTTAAATTAAAGTTTTGATAAAAGTTTTTTTATACATAAATATATAATAAAATATAGGAATTATTTATGTATAGAAATATAAATATTATCAAAAAAGCTATTTAAAAATTAAAAACGAATTTTAAATTTTTGTTCCTTGTTGTTCCTCTACAATTTTGGGGAGGAACAATTTTGTTCTATCATTCTTTTTTTTTGAGGAATGAAGAGGAAAAATGTAGGACCACATGTCTGAAAATAAAACAAAAATTCCTTATAAATGGTAAAAAAAATGAGGAACAAAAAGAACATGACATTCCTACTCATTCTTTTCCTCAAAATTGGTTACCAATTGGAGCCGATATAACGAAATCAATCAGTCTTCTCCCACTCTGTCCAGTGTCGGTCCGGTAAAATCCGTGGCCAGATACGAAAAAAAAATTGGGGACTTTACAAAAAAAAAAAAAAAAGATTACTAATTTTTGTTTTTGCTAATTATGGGACATTCATAATTTTTAACTATTAATTTTTCTTAATTTTGGACATTGTTTGATAATTATGGAAATTTGTTTTACTAATTATAGAACATTTTTGTTAATTGTGGGGCTTTTTTTGATAATTTTTGGGGTTATTTTTTTTAGTTTTGGAGCTGAAAAAAAAAAAAAACAATTCTCCCAAAAATGGGCCTCAAAATTTTGAGGCCCAATACAAATGTTTATTAGAATTTGGTAAAGAGCCGGACCTCTGCCATATGTACAACATAATTTAGAGAAAAACAAAAAAAAAATGTTTGTTTTAAAATAAAAGAAACCAATTAATTTGTTTTTTTTATCAAATGGAAAAGCTGATGTTTAAAACATAATACAAATTAACTAAATTGTTTTTTGAATTTTTGAATTGTATCCAATCTTTGCTAATCCATTAACTTTTTTTTTTAATAAACCGCTAATCCATTAACTTCCACAAACTTAAGGTAAAATTTTATGAGCAGGAAATAAAGTAGTTATTACTTGAAAGGAACACTTTAATTATAATAGATATACTAATTAAAATTGATCACGATGTGTAAACCTAATGGTTTGTGTTAAAATCATCGATGCACCACCATCCATATCCGAACACGTATATATTTTGCATGTTGCTAGCAAAAATTAGTCTATGGTTAATGAACGCAAGAGTGTTATGGAATTGTTATTTAAAATCTTCGAGATACATGTAGTTTGAAGGAGTTATTATTATTCTTTCGTTTACTAGTAAAAAAAATACGTATATCCAGTTCAATATTCATGGTTGCAGCAGAAAATTCGTGGCTGTAAGTCGATATAGCCACGACTAGTGACTAAAAATAATCGTGGCTATAGCTTCGTAGTTTTTTTTTTTTTGTGGCTTTTTTTTATGGCTGCATAGCCACGAATTAGTCACTCATATTTCGTGGCTATTATTAGCCACGAATAGTCACTCATTTTCGGCGGCAAATTATAGCTACGATTATGTCACTATGATTTCGTGACAAATTTAGCCACGGAATATGCGTAGCAAAGTTCATGACAAAATTAAGTAAGCCACGATTCAATAAGTGACATGATCGTTGGTTTAAGCCACGATTTGTATAAAATTGCATAATCGTGCCAATGAACTTTAGTTGTAATATTCGTGGCTAATCATGTATAATTTTCTTCTAAAAAAAACAATGCTATAAATAAACCTGAAATGAAAAGCTTAAAATCCAAATAACATTAAATCCTAGTAAGAAGATTAGATTACATAATTATAGTAGTCTTGTAAGTTACAATACCAAAAGGCAAAAAGGGTGCTAATTTTAGTCATACAAAAGACCCCATTCATACAAAAGAAACATAAAAACAGAAACTTATAAACCTGCTGAAGCACACCAAGCATCTAAGTTGCCTTGTTGTGTTCTTGTAGGAAGGTCTGTCGGAGTAGCAGCAGGAGACACAACAGCAGACAGACGTAGCAGTAGGAGACACAACAGCAGACACAGCAGCAGACGCAGCAGCAGGAGGACATCACGACAAGCAGCAGGAGGACCATCACGACCAGCAAAACCGAGACCAGCAGCAGCAGCAGCACGAGCCATAACGTCACTTGGAACAAGTTGAATTCCCAGAGACTGCATAATCGCATTCAGCGCAAGTCGGGTTGTAGCCAGCTCGTCCATTACCGTGCCAATGCCAGACTTCAGCTCCACCATGTTTTCCTTGAGCGCCTCATTGGTTTCCTTGAGTGCTTCATTGTTTTTTTCCAAACCATAGATGCGCATCTCATTGTCAAGGTTGCGAGTCATAGCAACAGCCACTTTCTCGGATGGATTGATTTCCCGGTATTGTACACTGCCTAATCCGTAGATATACCCTCTTTTAGACTTACCACGCTGTGAAAGAAAGAAACAAATAAGAATCAAGCATCATTCAAAACTAAACACAATTTCAGATGGATAAACAAAACTGAACCAGTCAAACATATGAGAATTTCAGATGGATAAAATAAAGAGAACCAATTCAAAATCAAACAAATGAACGTAAACAAAACTGAACCAACTCAGAATCAAACAAATGAGAATAAACCAAACTGAACAAAAACATAAGTCATTTAACCAATATTGATATATCGTGGTTTTTACTGATTTTAACCATGATATTAGGTATGTTTCTAGAGTCTTTTTGGTCCTTTTTGCGTCTTTTAGAGTCTTTGCAGATACCTACAGGTTTAAGAGAATTCTGGAGCAAAAGTTGGACATTTGGAGCAATATAGCTAACAAGAGCAACTTGTCACGATCAGAGTATCTTGGTGTCGATCGACACCATCAGTGTCGATCAACACCGTCGCGTTTTGCTTGGACGACACACGTTTTTAACAAGTTTTGAAAAATTACAGAATGGCCCTCATGTTCCTGTTTGTTGCAAAAGAAGTCCCCGACGTGTTTGAGACTATATTATTAGGTTTTTATCTTTGTAAGGTTTTTTATGCTCGAATTTGGAGAGAGATTTGTGTATTAGCTTGGAGAGAAGAATCAGACTCCTTCAGAGAGATTCAGAACTCCCTTACTCTATCTCTTACTCTTTTTAATGCAATTTATTCAGATTATGATTTGTGTTTCTTCTACCATGTCTGAGTAATTCACCTGTTAGATTTAGGGTTTTTCCATGTTTTGATGAATTGCTAAATTAAATATTTTGGTAGGGTAATTTTAGTGTTCTTCACCTAGATTTGATTGAATTACTAGTTCTAGACTGATCACCTGGAATCTAGCTCATAGGATATTAGATAGAATCGAGAGGTCATCTATTTCCTGAAATAATCTTAGGTGAGCAAAAGAACTATTCGCATCGAGAGTTGGTTTAGTACTTTAGTGAACATATTAAACCTGAACTTTAATGCTTGTTTAGTTATAGGAATTTGCATCGAGAGTTGGGATTTCTATTGTTAGGCATAGAGAATTAACGCATCGAGAGGTGGTTAGTTTGATATTTGTGATTTGAGTTCAAGAACGGCGCTTAATAAACCCTTACCCGTTGTTTAATTTAAAATTCTGATTTACTAAAAGGAATAACCGTAAGTCTAGCTTTTTCATCAATTGATCTAAAAACCTCACTCACCTGCTAGTTTTCATTTGATTTCTTTATTTTATATTTAGCTTAATTCAAATTGCTGAATTGTTTATTGTGTGAACAACGAAAACTTTGTAGAATTCGACCCTTAAGTACTACAATATGATCTCTTATTTGACAGAATAGTTCTAGGAGTTAATTTGAACCATATCAAATTTGGCGCCGTTGCGGGGGAAGATACGGATTCATGCCTACGACAACTCAAAGCTCTATAAGGAACGCAAGGCGTATCATGACAAGAGAATCATATCCAGGACATTCGAACCAGGCGATCAGGTACTTCTGTATAACTCCTGTTTACATTTGTTTCCTGGTAAATTGTCTTCTTGATGGCCAGGTCCCTTTACAGTACATTTTGTTCGACCATACGGCAATCTTGTCTTGAAAAATGCCAAAGGTGAGGAATTCAAAGTCAATGGGAAAAGGGTGAAACATTATTGGGCGAAAGCCGAGCTTTCAGAGCGACACGACGTGCCTCTGCAAGATATCCCTTCAGCCTGACAACCTGTTGAGTCGAGCTAACGACTTTAAACAAGCGCTCTGTGGGAGGCAACCCACCCGGTAGGTTGTATATAATTCTTTTATTTTATTTTATATTCTTCATTTGTATACTTGATCTTTATTTTTTTTTTCATTTTCTTTTTCTTTTTACTAACTAGCTAAGATTTATTTTTGAGTTTCTGATTTTTCAGATATAAAAAAAAAGAACCAAAACGAGTATCGCGACCACGGCGTGGTGTCGATCGACATCACTTGGTGTCGCTCGACACCACGGGAATCGAGGCAGGTCGACATAACCCTCAGACGCATCTTCTTCTACATTCTACTCCCAAACCGCCGAAATCACCATTCCTCTCTTAGAACCTTCGATTCTTCACCGATTTTTTCGATTTTGGTGTCTAAATCCATTAGAATTTCATCCTCTATCCATCCCAAGTATTCATTCGTCCGATCTGCAACATGGCTGGCCAGAAAAAGCGAAAAACGAATTCCGGCAAAAGTGGTCCTTCCTCCTCCCGCTGCGGTGAGCCTCCAGCCGCCGTTCCACCACTGGCGCCGTCCTCCTCAGCCTCTCAAGAAGCTCCTCCAGCCTCCCATTGCCGTCATCCATGGCCACGTTTGGAGAAGTAACGAATTTGAAGCTCTCGGGTTTGGGACGACGATGTTCGACGCGAATTCGCCAAAAGTGAGTACATAAACCGTCTTTTCTCTCAGGATTGGGATGATTATGATACCTTGTTTTATAATGCTTGGTTGGGAGTGGTTCTTAAGCCTACTAGAGTGGTGGATATGGATTTGATGAAAAAGATGGGAATTGAGAACGAGGTTTTAGGGATGTTAGAGGCTATCGGTTTAGGAACGATTTGCACTAAGAAGTATGACATGTTCCCGGAGTTGGTTAGGCAGTTTATTGCTACTGTTAGAGTTGGGTATGAGAAAGAGTGCGAGAAAAATGCTAGAGACGGTTTTCTGAGTTTCTTCATTAGAGGAGTGCGGTACAGTTTGCCTTTGCGTGAGTTGGCAGAGATCTATGGTTTTGATGGTGAGCTCCCACGTGTGGCTCTTCCTGATCGTTTTGATGGTATTCAGAACTTTTGGTCTTATATTGGGAATGGAGATTATGACTCCAAGAAATCAGCGTAGACAGATATCAGGCATCCAGCTTTGAGATATGTTGCTAGACTCCTAGGCCACACTTTGTTGTACTAGATGGAGCCTGGTAAGATGAGACGTAATGAGGTGATACTCCTCAATTATGCTGTTGGTGATTTTTGTGTTTCAGGTCCTGAGGAGGATTAGTGTGACCGGCTTGTGAATTTCGGAGCTGTCTTCGCACATCAGCTGGAGAAGATCAAGTATCGGCCTTTTAGTGGCACTGGGACCAAGACCGCATGTGTTGGTAGTCTTCTCACTCCTATCTTCCAGCACCTGGGTATTAACACTGATGGGGTAGCAATCTCGACCGCGCGTTATACTATGGATGAGGCTTATTTGAAGCATGCGCAATGGCTCAAGGGTAACTTGCTCTGGAGTTTTTCTGATAGCACTGGGGATCACCTCATTCAGCTTCCTCAGCCCGAGTTGACTGTTATCACAGGCAACCCTGTTCAGCCCGAGTTGACTGATAGTTTTTCTTTTTAATGTATCAAGAATTCGAAAACACTGAGAGCAATCACAAAACTTATAAAGGGTCTTTAAAGTTGAATCCATGTGATCACTCAAGAAAGCTTCATAGATAGAAGACTCCACTAATTAAATCAAACCCCACTCAATAGATTCAAACCCTAATTACGCATTACACAAACTTGGATCTCTCTTCTTTCTTTTTTTTTTTTTTTTTTTTCTTTTTTTATTTATTTTTATTTTTTATATCCTATCGGCTATCCGGTCGGTCCCGGTAGGAACGCACCGAGGTGCTACAAAGTGGACTTGTCCACCGTGTTAACGGCTAGGCCCTTCGGGCTACCACTCTGCCTATCCCGAGTTTGGAATGTCTTCCGACTAAGTGCTAGGGGGTAGTCAGGCCGCCTGCATTTCTGATTATCAGGTAAACCAATGAGGCCAAAGCCCAACTGACAGACTACCCACAATAATGTTGATAACAGCAGGTGGAGTCGAAGCCGGGGTGGAGGGAATCTCACCCAAACAACCAGGGCCCGCCAACTACTCGCCTACCACCATGTGGGTGTCTTCTGTCTTTTACTCGGTTTATATTTTCACTCTACTCTCTGTTTCTCTTAACAATGATGATTTCAATTTGTAACCCTTCTTAATTTGGTTCATACATACACTTGACATGAAATTGTCAACAGATGTGTAGGCATAATATCATCAAAAAATTGATCGACATTCTATATGGTATTTAAATTTTCGACCGTACTTTATAAAACCATAACATCACAATAACCATTATTTCTAATTTACGTTGGAGGAAACAAAAAGAAGAGAAAATGGTGGTGGTTCCAGCACAAAAAGAAACCGAGCTCGAGGAGAAATCATTAGCTGCGTCTCTAACATAGACCAAATCAGAGTCACAAAAAGAGAAAGACGCGTATATAGTATAAACCCTATTTTGGGTCATACAAGTCATTAAAAAGAAGTGTGATAGATGAGAGTAAATCACACCCAACGTACGTTGGTAAAAATCATAAATTCAAAAGTAAATCAGATTATAAAGCCCAAGCATCTGTGGTCTAGTGGCAGAGGAAGCTTTGGGAAAGGGTGAAACTCCCAAACTTGAGTTCGATTCTCCTTGGAAACAAAAACACATTTGTTTGGGAAGTCTGTCAGTTGGGCTTTGGCCCAATTGGTTTACCTGGTAGCCAGAAATGCAGGCGGCCTGACTACCCCTGACACTTAGTCGGAAGGCATTCCAAACTCGGGATAGGCAGAGTGGTAGCCCGTAAGGGCCTAACCGTTAACACGGTGGACCAGTCCACTATGTAGCACCTCGGTGCGTTCCTACCGAGGCCGACCGGATAGCCGATAGGGTTTATCAAAAAAAAAAAAAAAAAAAAAAATCAGATTATAAAGGTTGATAAAAAGAGAAAAATACAGATTATTTGTTTTCTAAACCTACTTGTGGAGGAAGTCGCCTGAACAATCGTGCTTATTGTCGATCTCTGCCACTCAATTCTTTCTCCGGGAATAACACCAAGCCAAAAAATTAATTTCATTTCTTCCAAATATCTTCACCCCTATCTTCTTCAGGCCATCCCACCGCCACTCTCGACCTCACAACCTCTTCCTCGCAACAACTTAACGTAAAAGCAAAAGCTGTCACAAGGTCCTTTACAAAAATAAAAAAGACGATATGAGCTTAAAAAAAAGAACAGGTTTTCTCTCAGCCTTCTCCTCCAATCCTCTACTGTAAACTGATGGCGGACCGATATGCCATGCTCTCTTCAATACAACAGTTTTGTAAAATCGCCGTAATCAGGTTC